GAACTTCTCAGTTACTCTGACTCAAAACTGCAGGCTAAATAAAGGGAAAACTCAGCCTCTTACTCACTCGTGAGTAATGGGTGTGGGGGAGATGGTTAAGGTGCTTCATTGATATTAAGAGAAATTGAATTTTCTTCGTGTTTTAAGATTTCTGAATAATTGTTATGTGTTTTCTTTTCTTTGAATGAACATGATACCCATCCTAGGAGATGTATTTTCAAGTGTTTGTCTTTCTTTGAGAAACTGGTGGCTCATTTAAAAAAGTGGAGAATGCTGGGTGCCGGCTTACCGGGAAAGATGATTTTAAGTTACACAGGCAGCTAGTGATAGGGATCGTCTTTGAAGATATGGATTCTGTCCAAGTATTTGAATTAATTTACTTGTACTTCTGGTCTCCTGTTTCAGTTCTGTATCTGCAAAGTGCAGGACTTCCTCTTTCTTTATCTCTGACCTTAGGACCATGTACATGCCCTCAATTTCATTTAGTCTGTACTTCCAACAAGCTAAGCATATGCAGCAGTCTTTGAAGGATCAAAACTTTAACTTTGTTATTTGCTTATTTTTTAATTAATATTTGTCAAACCTAGCATGTTTATATTGATTGTGGCCAATAAATGTAACTTAAATTAAAAAGATTGAAGACTAGCATTGTGATAGCATCATACTCAATACTTGGACTAAAAAATACTTTTCATTTCCTGTGAGAGGCAAAACTCTCTATAATCAGAATGATGTGCGGTATTATTTATGTCGTATTTGAGAACTTCTTATGCAATACAGGAAGTCATAATGAATTTTGAATTCTACAGTACTGGCATCTCTTATATTTCCTGTTTGGCTAAGACAGCAACTATAAAAAACCCAAACAAACAGTTCAGCAACGTCAGCTGTTAGTGTATCTCTGATTTCATGTAATTGTGTGCATAATTTGTTTTGTTTCATGTATTGTTAAAAGAATTTAATTTGTGAAGTACAGCCATGAACTCTTATTCCAAATCTGGTGTATCACCATTGTTTGGGGGTTTTTTGTCTTTTACGTATTTTTTTTAAGTTGATGTGCTTAGGCAGTATACTTCTTTATTGAGCCAGACATTGCTTCTCTGAATTTCACAATTTCAGATGCAGCACAGGCAGTTTTGTGGTTCTGAACATGTTTATGACTCTTATTGTCAAGTTTTAGGAATGGTGTTGGTTAACTGTGTGTGTGTGCTCATCTCTAAATGTATCTCACAAGATTTGAAATGAGCAAATTTACTTGTTAGTACTTAGGAACCATTTTACCTAAGAACATCACTGCAGTCTAGAAGAAAAAACACTGATTTTTTTAATTAAAATACTACACTTTATAAACATCTTTCTTTTGTCCTAACTGTAAGTGATAGCAAAAAGAAATCTCTAGCTAAGCTCACTGCATAAGTGAAACTCATGAATGTGAGACACTATATTTTGACTTCTGTAGCTCTCAGCAGCAGATATCACTAAACTAAAGGAGACAGTTTAAATACAGGCAGTTGTTTAGTCACCCAAGAAAACAGTAATGATGGACTTTAATCATAAAGCATTTGAAAGTACGTGGAGTATAGAATGAGCATGGATGCTTCCTTTGGTGTTTTGGGATTTGTTTGTTTTAAACTTCAGTCATGATTTTGGCTCTAATTTCTTAATGTTGTAGTTTAAAAAGCCAGATGCTTTGCTTTAATGACAAAGCAGACTTGATCTTGAATTTCATAGAAGAGAAACTTTAAAGACTGGTTTATGATGTCCGTTGTTTAAATCAGGTTTGTACAAGCACCTAAACATTATGGAGGTTGCAATTGTAATTTACTTTCTCCTGTCCCCCACCTCACCCTTTCAGGTTACACATGTTGAACCATGGGAGAAGGGCAGCAGGAAAACCGCAGGCCAGACAGGGATGTGTGGAGGGGTAAGTAGAAGTACGTGCCTTCTTAAATTTTTCTGTCTGGTAAAGAACTTTGCCAAGCATAGTTAAAACTTGCTGGTCTGTTGACATCAGTCTCTAGATGTAGAAGTATTTATTACATAGAGTAGATATATTCCTCTTGCTTCCAAAGCTGTGGATGCAGGTAGTGTTACTTTTTCCACATGGCTTTTTTTGTAGATTTAGATTTTATTATGTGTTAGTTTTCACATTCTTTTGAAGATTTGGGATAATGTCTTTGACTTCCTGCATCCTCACCTAACTTTTTGCTTTTGAAAGGTGCGTGGTGTTGGAACTGGAGGAATTGTGTCCACTGCCTTTTGTCTGCTCTACAAATTATTTACCCTGAAGCTCACTCGTAAGCAAGTGATGGGCCTTATAACTCATACAGACTCTCCATATATTAGGGCTCTTGGATTTATGTATATTAGGTAAGTATCACTGTTATCAACTAATGACTGTTTTAATATGCAGACAGCTGTATTAAAATTTTACTTTCTTTTTGTACTTGAAGGTACACACAACCACCTACAGATCTATGGGACTGGTTTGAATCCTTTCTTGATGACGAAGAGGTATGTCGGCGAGGGTAATAATTTGTTTTCTTTTGTTTCTTTTCATGTTCCTACTTTAGGTTTAAACATTGTTTCATAAGGTTTTCTGTAGTTTGACTGTTGTAACGTTCTGTTCTTTAATTTTTATTAATTAGTGCAGGAAGCAGGTTTGAGCTCGGACATGGGTTAGTTTTCTTAAAGATCTAACAGAATTTTTTGCTGGTTAGTATGTTACTGTGTCAGATTGACAAAGCCATGTGAAACAGGTGTACTAAATCAGAATTCAAACAGCAGGGTGTGTGTGGCTTCTGTGCATTTTTCAAAGTCGTATCTTAAAAGCAAGGTGTAGTAAGTCATGAGAATGCTAAATTTATATTATCTATTTATTACTGGGATGGGAGAATTGACGCTGACATAAAAGAGTGGGAAGTATATAGTAGAAACCAACATTCACCTTGGAAAATACTGCCAAAAATCTCTGTGGTTATTATTCATGTCCTGGAATAACTAAACCCAGGATTTCTCCAGAGGAGAAGCAAACAGCCTGATTATGGCATAAGGTTCCATTGTTAATGTCTTTGGGGACAAATAAAGAAGATGAGTTGCTCACTGAAGTCCAGTGCAGAGGTTGCATTATTATGCAGTCAGGTGGGAGAATACCTTTGGTATCCTAGTCCTGATTTACTGTTTGGGGAAACAGAGTAGGGAGTTGGTGGGTGATGCTTCTTGGGCTATGAACTTGAATACACAGTCTGCTACGTACTGCTGCAATTTGTATTTATTGAGCAGGTTTTAAGTTACATCTTAGATTTAAGAATGGAACAGGAAGGATCATCTGCCCTCTTCAGTGTGACAGTATACATCTACTTCAAGAAATTCCAAATGCTGTAGTTGCAAATGATGTCCAGATATTTGTAATAAAAATAGTGTTAATTACACCTGTATCTGACTGCAATGAACAACTTCTTTCATGCTAAGTATCAAAAACACTGTGCAAAGGAAACAGCTGTTATTTCAGGTAAACCTGTGCTATTCTACATTTTTAACAAAAATCAAAACAAATTTGAACCTTGATTGCATCTCTGTAATCTCCTCCTTCTCCCCCAGGTGGGGTAGTTAAAGTGAACTCTCCTCTGCAATGCTGGACTGTAATTTTTGAGAAGGATTGGGGTGGCTTCATTCTCAGGGTCTCGCAAACTCAGTGTGGACTCAAAGGACAATAAAGTGATCACAAGCGCATTGCATTGTGCAAGTCTTAACTGGTTCATTATTCAAAGCATATTTTTTATTTATATATTTTAGTTCTTGCAGATATTGGTTATCAAGATGTATTTGTTTCTTGTTTAAAATCTCCCAGTATATTTTTGGAATTAGTGTTGCTTTCCCAGCTGCTATCAGTAGCTTTGTGTTACGTGCTTGGGGCTGCTTAAGTTTCTTACCAGTCCTGGTCAAACTCTATAGGATGAAGCAAATTTTTATATATGGAATTATTTAAACCTACAGGATTTTTTTTCCCCTTCAGTTCTTAAATATGTGGAAGCAGTTCATCTTTTGTCATGCTGCTGTGAAAAACTTCCCAGGATACAGAGTTACCTTTCAAAATGCTTCTTATGTTTATTTTGTTTAACTGTACGTACTCTCCAGGTGCTACGTTTAACTCCTTTTTTTCTTCTTTAGATCTCTGCAGCGATTATATTTGGAAAAACTGTATATCTGAACACTTAAATGTGTGTGAGTGCAAGCAGTTTTACGTTTAGATTTTCTCTTCCTGTTTAGATAACAAATCTCACTTTCCTTGTGTGCTTGCACTATAGGTTTGGGACTGACAATAGCTGACTAACATGTCCTGAGCTGTGAGAGGGCATAGCAAGAAGGCCTTCATGCGGTAATGACCCTTTTCAGAGACAATGGTCATCATGGATTATGCGTTTCCAATTATTTGTTCATTTATTTATTTTTTTACATATTTCTAAATTAGAAACCTCACTGCTTCATGGCAGTTGGTTTGCTATTGCTTCCAATTCTGTTAGGATGCCATTTTGTACTAGAGGTTTTTCTATGATCATTTTGAGATAGGCAATGATGTAGTTCATAAATGATTTAGGCCACAGGGTTGGGTATGATGGTACACAGTTGTACATCCACAAAATGGAGTATTAAATGTACTTTCAGAGGACTTCTCAACATTTTGGCATTGAAATAAAATACAAGATCATACCATATAACCAGACTGTATAAGGGGATTTTGCGTTAATCTCTTCATCGACAGTCCCTTACCATCCAGATGGCTGCAGGATTAGTGTGTGCCTGCATGCATATATATTAAGTCCCATTCCCTGTCTGTAACATACTGCTAAATCCAAAGGGTGCAGAGTTTGAATTTTTCTAAGGAAATGTATTAGAATATGAGACAAGTAAACTTTCATAATCATGAGACTTCAATAGGACAGTAATGTAGAAACATTTTTTTTTTAATCAGTAAAGAATATTTTTGACCATCAGGATATTTTTTGCTTGTATTTTACAGGACCTGGATGTGAAGGCAGGTGGGGGTTGCGTTATGACCATTGGGGAGATGCTTCGTTCCTTCCTCACAAAGCTTGAATGGTTTTCCACCTTGTTTCCAAGAATTCCTGTGCCAGTCCAGAAAGCTATTGACCAGCAAATTAAAAGCAGACCTAGAAAAATCAAGAAAGAGGGCAAGGAGGGAATGGAAGAAATCGAACGGCATGCAGAACGTAGACGTTCAAGGTCATATACACGTTATTTTTAAAATGAATGTTAAAAGTTTATTATTGAACAACTTATTACCAGCAACATCTTGTCTTTTGACTGGGTTGGGTTTTAAGGCAACAGGCAAAAAAGTTTACGGATGCTAATGGATTAAAATCATCACATGATATTTGGTATTTAAGATGAAAAACAGACCGTGTATGTAAAGTATAAATTGAAAAGGAAAGATGGTCTCTTTAACTTAAAAAGGATGTGTTTCACACTGAATATCTTCTTTTTTAAAAGGTCTCCAAGACCAAGATCGATCAGTCCCAGGAGGTCTCCCAGAAGATCCAGAAGCAGAAGTCACCATCGGGAAGGCCATGGATCCTCTAGTTTTGACAGAGAACTAGAAAGAGAAAGAGAACGGCAGAGATTAGAACGTGAGGCAAAGGAGAGAGAAAAAGAAAGGCGGAGATCTCGAAGTACTGATCGCACACTGGAACGGAGGCGAAGCAGGAGCAGGGACAGATACAGAAGCCGTAGTCGAAGTCGTGACAGGAAAGGAGATAGAAGAGACAGGGATAGGGAGCGAGAAAAAGAAAATGAACGGAGTCGAAAAAAAGAGAGAGATTATGATAAGGAAAGAGGTAGTGAGAGGGAAAAAGATCGATCTAGAGAAAGGTCAAAAGAAAGAAAAAGTAAGGGTGATACAGAAGAGAGAAGACACAAGGATGACAAGGATGAGAAGAAACACCGGGATGACAAGAGGGATTCCAAAAAAGAGAGAAAACATAGTAGAAGTCGAAGCCGGGAAAGAAAACATAGGAGTAGGAGCCGCAGTAGGAACACAGGTAAGCGCAGCAGAAGCAGGAGCAAAGAAAAATCAAGTAAACATAAAAATGAAAATAAGGAGAAGTCGAATAAACGAAGTAGAAGCAGAAGCAGAGGAAGAACAGATAGTGTTGAGAAGTCCAGAAAACGAGATCAGAGTCCCAGCAAAGAAAAATCTAGGAAGCGTAGCAGAAGCAAAGAACGTTCCCACAAACACGATCACAGTGATAGCAAGGACCATTCTGACAAACATGATCGCCGAAGGAGCCAAAGTACAGAACGAGAGAGCCAGGAAAAGCAAGAGAAAATCAAAGATGAGACTCTCTGAATTCTTTCAGAAGTGGATCACATTGAATCCTATAAATGTTTGATTAAATCCTGCTTATTTTTTCTTAAAGTTGAGATTGTGCAGTAGTTGATGAGCACTCTTCTCCAACCTCCCTCTAGGCTGCAGATTGTCATTTCCTATTTTGGGTAGGGAAGTGCCTTTGTAAACCCATTCAATGCATTGACGGTTTCAAACCATTTGTTTAGTTTAATTTGTAATGCAGAGATTGTTTTTGCATTTTTATTGTTCAGATGTTTCTGAAATGTACAGTCTGTACATATGTCCTGAAAATGTTTTAATTCCTTCGGCATGGTTGCCATGTTGGTTAAATTTGTATGAGGCAATAAACTGCCACTAATTATACTTCCCTTTTGTAGACGTGGAATTATGGTTTGTATCCTGAAGTTAGCATGGCTGTGCTTTACGTAATAGTATGGCTTTTAGGGATGGATCTGGAATGTGTACTATAGCTGAGATATTTATGTGCATACAATGTACATTGAGGGCTGCAGATTTAGAACTAACATTTATGTCCACTGTACCTACTGTTTTCTTCAAAGCTTTGTATTATGTTGATCACCAGTGGTGTTAAATTAGTGGACTTTCAAAGAGATAGTGGTTTTGATGCAAGGATTTAGATGATGTTGGGGCTCGTTTAGTAATTCTGTAGAAAGGCTACCTCAAGCGGACACTGTAAAGGTTGACAGATGAGTACCGTAGCCATCTATGCATTTTATTTGTTTGAAAAAAATCCATGTAAGCTTCCTTTTTTTTTTTTTAAACACAATTTATCCATTTGTGGTCTTTTAATGTTTTTGTTTTTTTTTTTTAATCATCAGCTGCACTCTGTCATTTATGTTAATCCTGGGCTAATAAAGGCATTTAAGATGGGAAGAGGGAGGTAGGAAGAAGAAAAATGTTACAAAGGATTTCAGTTTCAAGCTTCCAAAGCATTTTTATAAGTGTAAACATTTAAAATATGAACTAAATGACAGTGTCCTTTTTTAAGTCATATTTTCTACAAATAGTAAGGATCGCAGTTCATGCTGAACATTTCATCTGGCAGATTTTTTTTTAAAACAGGTTGTTAGAAGCAAAAACCAAAATGGATTATAGAAGAAAATCATATCATTACAGTCCAAGTCTATTTGATAGATTATTCTGATGACTTGTATACTAAGTGAGGAGAACCATCTGGAATAAACTCTCAATTCCTTTGTATCGAGTGTCAGCTTTTCCCTGCATGTTCATTGCCAGTTGAAGAGTGTTTTGGTTCCTCCACATTTCTTTTTCAGATCAAGTGACATTTTGTATGAATAAGGGATTTTATGTAATAAGTACTTTATGTGGGACATGTAGCAAACAAAGAAATGCAGCAGCCCCAAAACAGGAAGAACATGAAGTGTGACTCATTCATGATGATGAAGTGACCTGAAGGTAGAAGGTAGAAATAAGTTCATGCAGGTCATCTAGGCTTTTTTTTTTGTTTTGTTTTAACATCCAGGAGAAAACAAAGTGTTTCAGCTTCTAACAGTACACTTCATTCCATAGTATTCCAAGGAGCAAACTTCATTTTTTTTCTTCCTCCCTGCTCTAATTTTTTTATGAACTAACAGTTCAGAAACAGTTCCTTTGTCATTGTGATCCTTAGTAATCAAGATTTTTTAATACTGATGTTGTTGAGGTATTGTCTGTTTATATTTGTGTTACCTGATTTTAAATCTGAGCTTGAAACAAAACTTCAGCTTCAAAGAAGTCACTCCCTTGCTAAAACTAAACTACTGAGCTCTCATTTAATATGGGAGAAAAACTGTACTGGCCATTTAAGGAATATCCTGTCTAGTAGATTATTAGAGCTGTCTTTGCAGTCTGCCAAGTCAAAACAGTGAGGACAACTTTATCTTGTTTGTGTCTAGAGGGCTTCTTTTGGCCTTGTTTTTAACCTTCAGTTTCTGAAGCAAGTACACTCTTAGGCAGAGAGGCTGCAAGGCCAGTGTTCTGTCAGGGAAAATGGATTACTGATTTCCAATTGTTCCTTCAGGGCTCCCCCTCCTCTGCCATTGTTGGGAAATACAGTGAAAGAATGGTTTATTTGCAGGAAAAATACAGGTATTTGAGAAACACAGTCTTTGACCTGAAAGTGGAGAAGGGCTGTCTTACTACAACAAAGATGGTCAACATTTTGGTACAGCTTGTGAAAAGACCGGCCCGTGCCAGTACCTCTTACAAGTGCACTAATTTGAGGACTGTGCTTTTATTTTCCAATAAATAGTACTTTTTGACTTGTGGATTTAATATGATGCATATTATGTACTTGAGTTAGCAGTGTAATGGATGGCACAATATTCATTACCAAGACCCATGGAAATTACTTGGACCAAGACACCTGTCTTAAGTTATCCTTGGGATTTAGTATCGTGCAGCTCTTGGGTTTGGATCCAGGGACTCTGGTTCCTTTTTATCTTTCTGATATTATTTTATTTCGCATGACCTTCCTTGAAACCAAAAGGAACTGTGGTGTGCAAGCAGCTCTGGTGAGCAGTGGTAAGTTCAGTGGAGGTGCTGGTGCTGCCCACCCTGCTGCAGTTACTGCAGTGCAGCTGCACTGGGTATTCAGCTCAGGGCATTCGGAGAAAACTTCTGCCAGTTTTAATTGGAGGCATGGGATTTTCCCCAGGAGCTGCTCTCTGACAGTCTGTGCACTCTTCAGTTCTCAGGGTAAAAGCACAATGTCTGAAGCACTGTGAACCCAAAGTTCCCACAGTATGCCACATGTCCATAGTTACCTAGCTGGGATAGTTATCCTTTGGGAAGTCTCATCTGTCTTTGAAATTTCCTGTGGCTCCAACGGTAAGTACTGCATTAGTAATATTTTTAGTTGCTTACAGTATACAAATTCCACCCTTAAAGGGAACCCGAAGCAATGAGGGAACTTCTGCTGATGTTTGAGCCTTTTGCACTGCTATGGAGCCCATGTACCTTGTTGGTTCTAAAGTCTCTTCTTTCAAGAGCTTAATGGGGTTGGGTTGCTTGGGGGTTTTTGTTAGGGGTTTTTTTTGTTATTTTGGTGAGGGGATTTATTGGTTGTGGTTTTTTATTTCATAAAGACCAGAGCTTCATACTAGTAAGTAGTGTAGAAACTACATCTATGAAAACATTACATGTCATTGTCCATTAAGTCAGCATGACCCATAAAAAAGCATTTGCCTCAGTCTGGAGAGAACCTGCAACTAATCCTCACCAAAATTTTTTAATCATCTGAGTGATTGCCAGTGTCATTTCACATATCAGCAGTGTTAATTACTATTAAGACAATGCCTAATGCCTGAGGAACAAGGCCTGGAAGATATACACGGCCACAGCAGGAGGTGTGGATCTGGCTCAGTTTGGTTTTGTTGCTTTTCCTCCCTGTTTTGGTTAATTGTGTACATCTCCTAACCATTTTTTTTGAGCTGAATCAATGTGTTTTTTCTTAAAATCATTACTCCTCTTAAGCTTTTTCCTTTTTTTTCCCCCCCAACAGACATGCAAATAATACATTCTGTTACAACTATGCTTCTTTTTAATTATAAAAGTGAGGGGAGCTGATGAAAACAGTACTACAGCATTGTCCTGTTTGTAGTGTGCAATTCTGAGATGTTAAGGTTTGTATACCAGGAAGAATTGAGAAAATATACACCAACAGTTTAAAAAACATTAGAATTACTGTTAGAGCATGGAATTACCACAATTGTTTATGCGAGAAGAAGAAATTTGGGGCCTGAACTTGATTCTGAAAGAAACTGATTGCTTTAGACCTCTGAAAATCCAGTTAATAGCCACCTGGTTAAACACTTAGGCCTTGGTGGCAGTGTTTCACAGTGATGTCTCCAAAGAAGAAATACTTAAATAAAACCCTTGAGGAAGAAAGCCTTTAACAATAATATTTTTTTTTCAATTAATGAGAAAAGTTGCCAATTGTTTATTAGCTAATGCAGGACAGTTTCAAATAATGTTTCCTAAAGAAAGACTTGTTTGACCATGACTAAATGTAGATGATGTTTTAAGAAGCAACATGTAATTCTTGGGCCATCTACAATCAACGTATTGAAGGGTGATTCCCGTGAGGTGACTTTGTGCAGGTGATCAGAAGCAGTGACTGAGATACCTAATACAGCTGTGTAAAAATGCCTGTTGTCTTTGGTTACCTTTATACAACTGAGTTTCTGAAGACTCTTTTTGTAAGATTACATATGTTTGTAGAACTGTTGACCTTGAATTTTGCTTTCTGTGTTGGCTGAGAAAGTAACCAGTGAGGAGTATGAGAAAAGGTCCTGCCTTTTCTGAAAAATGGAAAATTAAGATTTTAGTAATATCTGTCAGTTCTTCATTAGCTACAGTGCAAAGCAAGTCAGTTGATGTGAAGAGGACATTCTGTTTACTCCTCATGAGTCACCTCTCAAAACTCTAAAGGAAGAAACTTTTTTTAAATTTTGAAGTAAAATGAAATAGCCTTGGAATAATACTCGATTAAGCCTCAAGCTACTTTTGAGTGACTCTACCTGAACTGCTGTTGCTTTGGTTTGTTTTCTTTTTTTAAGAAGTTTAACTTCACTCTCTTGATCTTTATTTCAGCCTTATTTCGTTGGTACATTAGTTCTGGAACACACCTACTGATTAATAACGGTTCTTGGAAGAACTTTTAAAAGCGATTGCTTGCACAGAAAATTATAGTTCAAGATTACAGACATCTCCATCAAGTGTTCAGCTGCATTTTAAAAATGATCTTGTCAGCTGGGGCTCAAATTTGATGTCCTGGATTAGATCTCAGATATGACTAGCTGTTCAGCTTCCCTCCTCCCAGTCCTGAGCAGCTGTGAATGTTGCCATTAAGCACAGATGTTGTCTTTCCAGCTTCAGGGAAAGTAAGAGTGAAAGGAGCATTTAGGGAGAATGGTGTTATCAACAACCTTAACATCCAGGATAGCTGTAGGTGAATAGCAGGAAAAAGGAGATGATCAGCCTTGGGGGGAAAAAGTCAGCAGTGATTTCTTGCCATTCCTTTGAGACAGGAGCACTAAATAGTGCAGAACACTGGTAATTGTGTTGAAGAGTGAGCAATTTTAGCTGGGAAAGAGAGAAAGTAAATGGATGCTGAAGAGTATCTTGATCAGTTTGTATTTTGAAGGCTTTTATGGGGAACTAGAGGATAGTATTAGAAAAGGTTTAATGAAGTGAAAGACGGTTATTATAAATGGAGGACAAATCAGTATTGATAGTAGGAGTAGACAACATGAGCTTTTGGAGGTAAATATGGATTATCTCCAGTTCCAAAGATTTAATCAGCAGGAAAAGTTTGATTAATACATCATAATATCAGCGGCAATTCTTGTAACTTACCTTCTTATCTGAACCAGAATTTTCATTTAGATGTGTTCTGCATTGCTCTTGCCTCTATAAATCACTAGAAAAGAATTTGGAAATTCAGTTTCAGTTATAGAAAAGCAGCTGTTTTGAGAAGTTTTTCAGTGGCTGCTTTTGAAGTTGTTTCTAGCAGTTTACGTAGGCAAATAAAACACAAGACTATCCTGTTTAAACCCCAGAAGAAATAAGGTAGAATAAGTTGAGGTAAGCCACATTTTTTAAGCTTTTTAAAAATAAAAATCAGAAGTGCAACCTCGTTGAATTTGTAATGGGATATGGTGAGGCTATAGAAGATAAGCCTGCCTTTTATTTTGTACTATCTGATAAATAGTGTTGTGACTATGCATGATGGTATACAGGCCACAATATAGATATTTAATTATTTATTATAAGATGGGGGGTGAGACAAACCTGCATAATACTAACAGAAGCCTTGATGATCAAATTTATGTTATATGCATCTTATCTGAAGTTAAACGATGTGAACATATTTTACAAACTCCATGAATTTGTAACGAATGTACTACGTGCTCTTACCCATTCCAACAGAGCTTCCAGAACAAGTTACTGAAATGACATGAAACAGTGGTATAAATGTGAGGTGTCAGGTTGTGAGCTGTGAAACATTATTAGTCTGTAGTATGTAGTCCAACTGTGCAATCCCATCAGATACCAGTACTTTTAAAATTGATTAAATCCACGCCCTAGGAAAGGAATCCCAAGGTAACTACTACCCCTTTAAACAATTATTACTTCAAAATGTGCTTAGGAGTGGTTCATAGAAGTAATTGTTTCTTTATTTAAAAAACATCCATAAACCAAATTCAAAAACAAAACAAAAAATGCTCATTTATTTGTTCCTATATTGTAGCCACTCCTAACCTTCACCAGGATACAGTTGATCTAGTTAAGAGGATCTGTGTAGATAAGTATGCCCAGTCCCAAAATGCTCCTGTGAAGTTCCTGTAACAGATATTGCAAGACAGCACCCACGAAGTTTACTCTGTAGTCAACACTAGAACATGCCACCTTTACCTTCATAATTTTGGATTACATTTTAACCATCTAGAATGCATGGACAAAAACAGATCATTCAAAGAAATTTAAATTTTACCTGAATATATTTTTTTAGGACAGAATGTGAGCTTTGGACCCTTATCAGTCAGTGGAGCTACCACCACTGTGTAGACATCCCCACAGGGTATCTCGGTGATGTCGCAGTGACTTCGACCTGCTCTGGGGGTACAGGTGAAGTTGCCTTTTGAACCATGTAAATCAGTGCTGTAGTTCATTGTTTCATCAGAGGCTCGCCAGAACACCCTGATGCCATTGTTGCTCAGTCTGTATAGCTTCACCCCAGACGGACAGCAAGCACCTAATAAAGAGAGAAACATTAATAAGCAAATTTTGTGAACTCCTAGAGTGCATTTTAAACCAAATTACTATGATTATCATCATTTCACTGAGAAATTATTATTTCACAGAAAGCCAAAACAATTCTTGAACTGAACTAGGAAAGAAAATGTTTTATCAGACTCATATTATGGAGCTGGAATTCAGCCATTTTACATGTTGGAATATTGTTGCTCTCACCTGGCACGAGGCCTACCTTAAAGTGCCCAAAATCCTTTTGAGGTCTTTAAAATTTAATTATGCTATAGCATAATTTAAATTAAGAAATTGATTCTGGAGCAATGTTATTAAAACTTCTTTATATGGCCATCTGATGGCTGTCATAAGGACAAGTTTTAAATTATATGAAAATAATCCAAAGTACATTTATTTAGAAGAGGGAGCTGCAAGTGTACTAAGTATGTACTGAATTTCAGCTGTGCTATTTGTATGAGAGCAACAGTATACAAAGTACGTTGTATATTGAGTCTTTTTCTTCCCAAGTGCATTTACAATTTACATACTGGAAGAATATCCCTGATATGTGCAACTGGATGTCAGACCCGTTTCACTAATTGCTTTCAGAGACACTGTGTAGTTGGTGCCACATGTGATGCATCCCAGGAGACAGTAGTTCTGAAGAGTGCGACACTTTGCCTGTCCTTTTGGAGACTCCAGTGTTGTTACATATGTCTGTGCACCCTTCCCAGCAGACCAGCTGATATTTGTTACAGACTGTGTCACTTGAGTTAGTATCAGGTCGTTAGGGCAACAAGGAGCTTAAAGAAAAGAAAAAATAGAGAAGTCAGTTCTGGTTTGGAAGGTATTTTGTTGGGTTGCAGCCAGAATTGTACATGATCAAGAGCAAAGGAATGAAGAAGTGCATACTTCTCAGGCAAACAGTAGCATGCTGAAAAATACTTGACATTGCTGGCAAGCTTCTAATAAACAATGTCAATACAAGATCAATTTGTCTATAACAGTGGGTTATAATATTGGAATTACTACAACACGATCGTTCACCAAGATTCGAAAGTATCAGAGTACATGGGATAATTAAGCAGGGTCTACCTCTACCCCTCAAGTCATATTGCTCAGTCCAGCTCTGTCTTTGTTTAAAGTCTCTTCCTCTACAATGCAAGATGACTGCAGCCAAACTGCCTGTTAAAAATAGACCCTGGTGTACATTAACTGCTGTACAGGGCCTGGGGATTGTCTGGGTTAAGTGGTAGAGGACAAAACTCTGTTAGAAAATTAATAGCAGGAGTGGTGAGTAGGATGTGCTTTAATCTGTTCTTTATATTGTTGATGTGGACATTATCTCATTGCTTCTCCTAGTAATATTAAATATCAAAATGCTGACAAAGAAGTTATGTATTACATTAGTGGCTTATGTTACTGCATTTTAGTTAGCTGTGCCACAAAATAATTGGTTGCACTAAGGCTTCTCAGTATGTGGCAACTGCCAAGTGATCATTCTCACACACACAAAGATACAGACAGGTTCACACAAAGGGCATCCAGCAATAGGTAGCACAATATGCACACACTGTAATTAAAATAAAAAAAAGCCAAAGACATATAAAGAGTCATAGAACTATTTTAATATTATGCTGCTAACATGCAATTCCCACATACCCATCTCTAAAGGGACACTGTAGCTTGGTAAGCTCTGTCCTGCTGGTGATCTTGCTATAGCACTAACAGAGAAAGCAGATCCACAGGGAAGATCAGTTAAGGTACAGGAGCTTCCAGTGCTTGTGCAATGCCAAAGTCCAGCCTCTCCTCTGGCAGTGACAACGTATGTAGCGTCTTCATTGTTAGACTGCCACTGTACACTGATTACAGAAAGACCCTCCTTTGAGACATTTTTAATTTCAGGACTGCAGGGAGCTGAAATATTTCATATTAACAGTATTTAAACAGATTGTTTATACATACTATGTAAGTTAGACATGAAAATTAAATTCCAGTTAGAACTAACAAACTGCTTTGGAAAAAGTATATGATCCTTGTATACTTAGTCCTGGTGAGAATTTAGACCTTGTGACAGAACTGACAACATAAGGAGTTTGTGTACAAAACCAGAGATAAACTGTAAATCTGATTTTCAAAATATTGGAGCTGTCAGAAACTTTCAATCCAAATCTGTTTTTAGATCCCTGCTTACAGTATATTTTTAAAGACTTCCTGTTTTGGAGGGTTGTTTTTTTTTAATTTTTATCAGTTACAGTAAGTTAGCATTCCAGTAATGCATTTCATCCATGAATCACTGCGGTGCCTAATAATTATTTCTCCTGCTAAAGGAAAACACGAGTGATCACGGTACCTGTTGCCACGTGCTTGGGCGCACATGAGGTGTTGCTGCCCCTGGCCTCGCTGAAGGAGTGAACGGTGATGTGGTAGCGGGTGTTGCACTGCAGAGCTGACAGGGTGCAGGCCGGGGCCGTGTCATTGCAGAGCACCACCGTGCTCCAGGCGGCAGCTCTGGTCTCGTACAGGTCGGCGCCTCGGACAGGAGCCCAGGTGACCCGCACGGTGTCGCTGGACACGAACACGGCCCTGAAGTCGCTGGGGCAACAAGGAGCTGGGAACAGATGAGGCAGAGAGGGAAACTCGAATGGGAACGGGAAACTGGCATGAATAGGAGCCTTCTTTAGTTTACCTATGTGCTTCATGTCTTAAATCTCCAAAGGTGACCAATACTGTGCAAACAGTCTCATGAATCCCAGACTTATTTCCTGAATTAATTCAATGCCCCTCCTTCCAAAATCAATACAGGACATCCTAGTGTTTAGGTCAGATGCAGGAATTACATATATCTTTGGTTGAAGCTTTAAAAGCATCTAGAGGTTAAATAATTCAAAAAACATTCTTCTCAATTTCCCATTGAACTGGTTAATCTTTTTTCATTTTCCAAGTATGAAAACTCTCTTTGAGGAAGTTTAGGATTTTGACACACCATTCCTGAGGTAAAAGAAAAAAACTAAACAGGACTAGAGTTCAAATGTTACGCCAGGGCTGTAAGTTATTCATATGTCCTTGCCTGATTGATGATTGTGAATTGTTAAACTATTTTCAAGTTTGTAAGCATGTTGCACTTGACTACACAAGTTAAATTTAATGGCAATGGGAAGTGTTCCTTTTTTTTCAGCCAACCTTTGTGTGTTTTGCCCAAAACCTGAATAAAAATAGAAGTTTAAGTCAGTATCTTCCCATAAAAATATCCATAAACACAGTTAAAGGATCCAAATGAATTTGCAAAAATAAGTGGTTACTTACCAGTAGTGTAATTGAATACATCACCTAAAGGACTCTGCCCTGCCTTGTTATATGCAAAGACACTAATGAAATAAGTGAAGCCACAGTCTGACTGGAAATGACATTGAGTATATGATGTGTTGCAGTGCACTTCCAAGCCATCATCACTCTTCACAAAAACCACGTAATAATGACCAAAACTGACGCTAGACCATGACACCAGCAAGTGACCAAGTTCATCCTCTTCAATTGATATGTTTACTGGTGCACAAGGAACTGAAAACAAAAATTAAAAAAAAAAAGAATTGTAACGACATATTTTTATTGAAGTTACACTTTTACATAGTAAAGGAAAATCAGGAATATACAGAATTATTCTACTCAGTTGCTGTCTTGTTCAAGCAAACAGCAATATTATCTGCATTTACAGAGGGTGCTACTTACATTTAGATGACAAGTGGGTATGATTTTTACAGAACAAAATATCTTCATGTTTTACAGAAACAAATTCTGATTAAGGAGCCCCTGTCGAACAGTGAAAAAAACAGCGACACTGGGCAGTATTTCAAAAGAAACTGGCACAGTGTGTGCTCACAAATAGTAGGTTTGGATGGTAATTGTAATACTAGCTTGAATAACAATTAGCATCCAAAAGCTTTTATGTGTGAAAGCCCTTTATATGTTTTTATGAAACTCACTGGTTGTCTGTGAGTAGAACTGTCCTTTGCTTAGGTTCCCTTTCTGGTGGCATCATGTCACATTAAACTGCAAACTCTATGGCTTTTGCTTAAATAACATTTCCTTTCTTTCTAGTTCAAAGAAGTGTAGCTTGCTGCTATTAGAATGAATGTACATGATCCAGCTGAAGCAGTGTTGGCTGAGATCAGAGCCCACAGCTTAATACTTGTCTACTGTGTAAGGCTCTCTCATCCCATTAGATCCACCTCAGAGTTGCTCACAGAATTGATCTCTAACTCCTATCAATAAAAAGTCAAAATGAGGCAGGTTACATCAAATAACTAAGTAAATAGTGTTGTGTCTTTAAAGTAACATGTAATAAAAGAAATGTTTTAGATTTTAATTACATGGGCAGTTCATCTAACAGGTCAGGAAGCAATAACCTCTGACATGGCACTGGTGCTGTAGCTGAAACAAGCAAGCTTCTGTTCTGATGATGGTTGATGGTTTCTTAATTTAGTCTAGTGGTGCTACTTTGACTGAATGTGGTTTTGTTGACCTCCTTTCTAACTAAAAACTAGACTTGGCCTAGAATGCTTCTCAGCCCAGAGGCAATCCTTAATGCCATTTCCTCACAGACCTGTTATTCCTTACATTAGTTTTACACTCAGAAAATTGACTTTACAATATGTACTTCTAGTAATAGGAAAACAGAGGCTTACTGTTTCAGCCAACAATATATACACCATTGCAAGTTTTTCTTACACAAATATGAAGAAAGTTTAGGCTCTTATCCCTGAAATAGAAAAGAATATGGCACCATTCATGCACAAAGGTCAAAAGCAGAAATAACTATTTGAGAATCACTTGTGAATTGCAATGGACTAATTTGCATTTGAAATTAAAGAAATATATGTTAAAATGCCATAAGCTATATAAGGATCAATGACACATACTAGTTTTTAAGCTTACTGCATCAGTAGGTTTACTGGATCCAGCATCATTGTATGCTGTGACAGAAACATAATATTCAGAGCTGCACTGGAGGGATGGCACCATGCAGGAGGAGGAGGATGTGTTACACTTCAGTTTCAAGAGTCCACTGGAGGCTGTGACAGTGTAAGTTAGAGCTCCTTCTGTTGGCATCCAAGAAACTCTTAAAGCACCACTATTAAAAGCTACTTTAACATCCGCCGGTGCATTAGGACCTACGGTATATCAATAGTTTGGAACACATAAATACAACTTAGATCATGGCCTACAAACATGAGCATTTACATAATTTGCAAACTAAATACATTTTTTGTGGTGCAGACCTTAGCCTCATTCATGTTAAAGTGACATTTTTAAATAGTTTTAGTTATACACTGTCACAAAGCTTTCTGCTGAAACTCCCTGCCTTATTTGAATATTTACTTCTCACAGTTAGAAAAATCCTCAAATCAGTCTAAACTTGTGTAATCCTTATCCACACCTGTCCTGAGTACCACTTTAGTGACAGTTAATGGTATCTTTGCCTCAGTAATATTTATTAAACATAGTCATGTTATCTGAGGTTTCATAAACTTTGAGATGGGGCAAAAATGATGTGATCTGAAAATCTACCCAGTGTACCTTTGAAAAACATAACACAATCATACACACACATAAATATTTCCTGCTATATTGTTGCTGTTTTGGTTTGGTTTTTTTTTTTTTAATGCTCACTTGGTTTCAGAAAAGAAAATTTCTTACTTGTTCTTTGGTTATATGTGAAATCATCTCCAGGCATCCCATTGGCATTCCAGGCATAAGCCTTGATAGTATAGAGAGTTCCTGGATCTAGATTTGTAAATATCAAGGAGGTATTGGTGGTGTTCTCCCTCAGCATTCTGCCCAAACCATCTGACCTCATGAGTGACACAGAGAATCCAGCTGCCATATACACAGCTTTCCAGCTCAGTGCAATGGAGTCACAGCTCGGAGAACTAACAGACAGAATCGGAGCAGCCAGGACTGTAGAGAAAGAACAAAATCAAGCTTTTGGTTTTTCAGTAGTACAGTTTGAAAGGGCCAAATTTGAAATGAATACAGAAACAACAATCACCAACTCTCAGAGACAAATTCAGTGACAACAAAAGCAGAAAAATAAATGGATGCCAGCTTGATAGAATAAATATAGAAAGTGATTTGTGATGCATCGATTATTATATTACAGGTTTTGTAAAATGAATGTAACTCATACAGAAAGTATGAAAGGTTGTGAGTGTTGAAGAATGAAAATCACCAAGAAGATACTGCATTTCCCGTCCTTTAAGTTTTACATTGTCTTATTATTTTATTTTATTCATTTCTTCTATTCCTTCAACTTATGCCTTTTGTTAAAGTAAAATACATATATTCATACAAATTCTAGCAAAACTCCCAATTGAATATTTAACTTAACGTCCTATCATAAAGTAAACCATTAATTCAGACTCTTGTCCTGGTCATTAAGTCAAATGCCTGAATTCTAGTTGTCAAAAACTGAAAGGAGAATGTGATCAGTACAATTTAAAATGCAAGACTATAATAATTCAGGACTGGTACATGCATGAATGCTTTATAATAACATTATAGAATTTGAAATAAGAATTTTAAAGTCCACCTGTTTTTGCTTTTCTGAAAGGTGAAGGCTGGCTTTTTCCTCCTGAATTTATAGATCTGATAGTGATTCTGTACAAGGTGGCAGGTTTCAGCCCCGTCACTGTGCCTGGAGAATTTTTAACTACAGTTTCAATGAAGGAATCTCCATCTTGTGCAGTCAGCATGTAACTAGTAGCCCCAGGTACCGCTCTCCATTCCACTGTGATACTGTTGCTAAGTTTTGAATAAGCTTGGTCAATAACAGGTATGTCTGGAGCTAAAATGGAAATAATGATAGACATGCTTAAGTTGGGGAACTGAGCCCTGTGAAATGCTGAGTGCTCTGAACATTTCACACAGACAAAATGTAGGACATCTAACCCCATGCTCAGAGCAGATACACTTAGACTCACTATGCTCAGATATACACTCACTGGAAAAGAAAAAAAGATAAAATGAAGGTGTATCCCACATAAAATTAAGAAAAGGAATGTAAAATATTTGGGACAAAGTATGCACCCTGAGGCAAACTTACTCAAAGCAAGGCAGCTCACCTGGGATTTGGGAGACCCAGCAAGTATTACACAGCTATTTAACTGAGCGTTATGTCTGCTCTCTTAGTTCCAAGCACCTTATCAGTTACAGTCACACACCCTATGTTGCCCCACTTGTAAAAATGGTAACAGATATTCTGTCTGACCATGCCTGTGGAACATTTGCAGGTGGGTCATTTGCAATCTTTGAGTAAGATATTGCACTATGCTTTTTTTTTTCTTTTAAAATATTGTCTTTAGTAACCGTGCATAAAAATTTCTGTGCAAGAAATCCACGTGCAAGTCTAATGGAGTTTTTTGCCTAACAGTCAAGTAGAGAATATATAGCATGTGATGTATATCGGAAATAAATTACACAACATTAATCATTAATATCTCTTCTTCCAAAACTAAGCTAGCAATAGACATTTTGTTTACACTTAGCAGGATAAATACTTCTACTTGTTTACACTTACCATGATAAAACACCTCTACTTTTTTATTTTCAAATTTTATTGTAATAATTAATTTTATAAGAAACATTCAATTGGAAAAGTAATGGCTATTTCTCAAAATTATCAGCTAAATTATTTTAAAAACAGAATTTCAACAGAATATTTTTCAATTACATTTCAGTGATGAAATAAAAAAGGATTTCTGTTTATGTAGATTCTTTCAATATCCATCAGTGACTTACATGCCACAAGTCCTTTTGTGAATGAAACAAAATTACTGTTTAGCAGTTCTAAAAAATTTATAAATAGCTTCATATCTGCTTTTGTAATGAAAGAGTAGGTGATTTAAAAAGCTGCAGTCTGAGCAAACTGTGCGTGCCAGATCAGGAAAACTTGGAACAAGATGAGAGGAGAAAAGGAGCTAATCATGCTAATATTGAACTCAGTAGGAGAACCGGCAAAAGGCTTCAATGAGAATGGCAGATTTTCCCTACCAGTACAATGAAACATCAAGGATGAAATCCCAGTCATACAGAGGACAATGGAAATTATACTTCCCAGTTTCTCTTACTAACCTGTTGACTGCATAATCTGTGTTTCTGCAAGAATAATCCCATTCTTGTCAATGGCTTCTGCTTGTATAGCATAAACAGTATTGGGAATTAATGAAGTTAGAGTTGCTTTAAGTGTCACATCACTGAAATGAGCCAGTAATGAATGGCCTACAGTATTCACAGCTGTAGCTGTGACCCTGTAAGAAGAGGCTCCTGAAAACTTGGGCCATCTGAGAGAAATGCTTTGCGATGTCACATCATATAAAGACACAGAGAAACCTAAAACACCCAAAAAAATCATTATCAGAAAACATTTCAGTCATTCCTGAATTTAGTTAAGTCTTGACAAGAATATTGTTCAGTGCCTTATCAAGCATCTATGTGACCTAATTTTCAGACAATAGGCATTCTGCTGAATTTGGAGTGCTATTTCCCTTGCTCACTTTTGTAATCCATTAATTACTGTAATAACTGCTGCTCACTCTCATAATATCATGCTGTGATGATGGCTATTTTTCTTAAATTCCCAACACACTGTAGTCTAATTGTTTTAAAAAATACCATGTATAATCCGTATGTGACTATACAAGCAATGTCAACACTATTCCATAAATAAATAGGATCCGTTGTTTTGCTAATCATAAAAAGAATATGTTACAGTAAGTGTCCAGATATTGCAACGTCTGCAATGATCAAGCATTTAAGGCTCTTGACAGTGCAGGATATGCAGGAATGTACTATTGCCAGAGAGCGCATGAATGCTGAAAGCATTTCTTGTAATCGTGTAATCTCTTCTTTCAAAAAACTCAATATTCACATTTTAAGGTGTGAGGACCTGGAGGCACAAAATACAAGACTGCAGAAAGTATAAAACAAAACATTGGAAATATTTGGGCAGGGGAGAGCGTGCTTCTCCTGGTGTGGTTTTTTTGTTTGGTTTGGGGTTTTTTTTTTTTTGGAAGGAGTGTGGTGGCATTTTCTTTTGGTGATTTTTAATTTTTATTATTAAAATATATAACAATTAATTTGGTGCAAATATGGGACAGTTTGAATCCTATTTGTAGCACAGTTATGTAGGTAGTGGACAGCAGAATTTGTTCATCTGAGTGTTCTCTCTGGTTCACACCAGTGTCAAGGTGTAAGTCTGAATATTTGTGCAAGTGCCCAACAGAATTGGGACTCCTGAAAATGAGGTTTAAAATTTATAAAGATATCAACATAATTGTTTAAAGCTGAATCAAACTTGAAAACAATTTTTGTTTATAAAACTGCTAGAACTTACAGAATATTTTATTAAAAATCACAAGTGTGTGTTTTCTTCAGACCCATTAAAAAACAGGCAGGCAAAACCAAAATACCATTTTGAAGATTTACCTGTGTTAGCTGAAAAGATCTGAAAAGGAAGATGTAAGAAAATTAGAAATACAATGTGAAATATTTTATTTGGAAAATTAAAAACCTAAGAATGTTAATTGCAACAACAACAACTTAAAATACTATGTTTTTAAAAACATTTTACTGATATGATGTATTGGCTTAGATTCTTTAAGCATGGAAAGAGTATGCAACCAGTGAGATTTGGTACTGGTGTCCAGATTGTATTGCTTCTTCATTTTCATTTTCCTCTCTAAATCTTCCTATTGATCCCGTTTTCAGTTGTTGACACACTTTGAAAGGCCTCAAATCCTAATATATCCTTTTATTTTTCAGTCACTTGCAAACAGTGCAAAAGTGTAATAGTAACTCAATACCAATGCGGAAGCATCTGCATGATAGTCTCCATCCTAACTTTTAGTTTACATTTACAGAGTACAATATCATCGTTGAAAACAGCTCTAAAGCAAATGAGTTGCACTCACCATTTCTAGGCAGTTGAGAAGCAGTCCAGTAAATGCTAATGATTTACTTTTCGCACCACACATCTTGTCAGAGCTTTGTTCCAGCCTTCCCACGGGGATGAGCCGAGGCCGATCCCTGCTGTGAGCAGCCCTGTGTCTCGGCGGTGCTGCCACTGCAGGCTCGCTCCCCCTGCAGGCTCGCTCCCCGGGACAGAGGAGGTCGCGCTGGGCTGGGCGCTCCTCCCCGCTGGAGCCCAGCCGGCCGGCGGCCACCGAACCCTGGGGACAGGGGCCGACACAGCGCCGGCGGGCGGTGGGGTTTTCCCCCTTCTGTTACAGGATGCAGTCTCTGTATGCGTTATACAAGATTCATAAAATAATTAAGCCCAATAATCAAGCAAATCTGAGATTTGCTCTTCAGCTCATTACCTACTGTATTTTTGTCTACATACAAGGACCTTCTTTTCTGTTGGGAATGATGCCCTCGTGGTACTCCCCTTCGCATGGAACACTGCCATGGACTGGGAACCACCCTTCCTCAGTATCTGGCATTGTGGAAAGAGACATTTTCCTCATATTCCTTCGTATCTGTACCAGCTGCTGGTTCCCCTTAGACAACACGACTTTATGTCTTCAGACTGTAACTTCTGACAGACGATTGTAGGCGATAACAAACAGTATCGTTCTATGACCCGACAGTGTTTTTCTTGGCGGCTTTACACGAATGTCAGAGAGAACCCTGGGGCCGCTTTCATAAGGGAGCCCCGGTTTCCACCGCGAGGGGACTCGGCACCACGGCAAGTTTCGCGGCGCTCCCTCGGCTCTGCGCTCTCCAGCTCCCCCCGCTGCTCCACACACAGCCCCAGGAGCCGCCGCGGGGGTCGGGAGCGGCCCCCGTGTCCCGGGCTCACCTGCTGACAGGTGAGCAGCAGGAGACTCCTTCCTCAGGGGACGAGCCCTGGTCACCGAGCACTTCTCCAATGGGAATTACGGACCCCAATGTGGCAGAGGAAAGGGACCCGACTCCATTGGGGCCGGGGTGCGGGGCCCGGCCGGCAGAGCCCGCCCCCCAGGAGCAGCACGTGCCCCTCTCCGCCGCACCGTCCGCCCCGCCGTCCCTGAAGCAGGAGGCGGAAGGGCAGTGCTGCGGGACGAGTACTTGGCAGCAAAGATGGCGCGGCGGTGCGGGGCTGAAGGGGCGCTTGTTGGCAGATGAACCGTGAGATGCGGGAGCGAGTGCGGGCTGTGCCCCGCTCCGGGCGGTGAGCGCCCGGGGCCGCTCGGTGTGAGCGGCCGGCTGGAGCCGCGCCGCGGGCGCCGCCCGCGTATATCCCGCTCGTGTTTGGGGTCGGGGGTGCCCTGCCCGCCCGGGGTGGGTCCGGGGCCGCGGCCGGAGCCGCGCCGTTGTCGGAGCCGAGGAGGGCGAGCGGAGTCGGTCCCGGGCGGCCCTGCGGGGAGCCGGCTGTGCGGCGGAGGCTGTGCGAGTGTGGCTTTCCCCGGTGCTTACACTGGTGATCATCGCAGGTCTCACATCGGTGGGTGGGAGGCGGCTGCCCCGCTTGCGGTGCCCGCGGTGACAGCGCCTGGATAGAGACGCTCGCGCCTTATTCCGAGATAAGGGTGAGCTCTGCAGGCTGTAGCCCACCGGCCCGGCTCTTGGAGAGCTTAAACTGAAGCCAGCTCTTCCAGGACTTCTCTGTTGCATCCAAACTGGCTGTTTTGGGGAGACTCCGGCCTCAGGAGGGGCTCTGGTGTGTGTCACGGAGTGGCACTGCCCACTTTGTGTTCGGCTTCACGGTTTCAGTAGAAAAAGTTGAAGGTGTTCCCACGTAGTCTTACAAATGAACTGCAGATTTTTATCTCCATGTTTAGGAGCAGGTTCTGCTGGTGTTTGTTACAGAAAAGGAAATTGCAACTGCTCCCTTCCCTGGTGGAGTAGAAGGGCTCATAGTATTTCAGGTAGTGTGAGACCTATGAGAAAAGGCATTAGCAGCCACCTCACCCCGGGCTTAATTGTACTGAGGTTGTGACTCCATGAGCTGTTCAGCCAGCCTAGTGACTGTCACTGAAATGGGAAGGTCCTGCTGCTGTCTTCTTTCTGTTCCTCCACTGCTTCCACCTGAAAGCTCTGATCTGGTTGCTCGTGTCACTGGAAGAGGATATTGAGAAAGAGGAACTGAACTCTGATGTTCAGTCCTCAATTGCTGGCACCTATACCCTGCTTGTATGAATTAGATACCTTTGTTTACAACTTGACCTTTAGAAATCCTTACTTTTTCTGCTTTGCTTTTCCTGTCTTGGTCTGTTAGGTTATGTGTGCCTTTGATTGTCAAGCCACCGTTTTGTCTTGAGATATTTTGTAGAAGACTTGGACATTCAAGGAAGGAATGTGATCAAAGCACTAGTGTTGTCAGGGCCTGTAAGGACTTTTGAAAATGGTGTTGTCAGTGCAGACAAGACTGTGAGGAATGAAGATTAGAGTGATGGTAAAGCAATGTAAATAATAAAACATTTATATGGCAAGTTTAGTTGAGGTATGTCATGAAAAGAATGCTTTGTTAGATAATTAGTTACTCTTGTCTTTCCATTTCAACAACAATGAAAATTGATGAACTAAGTTTCATACATACTCTGGCACCCTGATTATGAGTAATTGAAGGCCATAAACTGCTGCTTCTTAATGGATCAGCAAACATGTTGGTGCTTTTTTTTTTTTTAAGGCTGATTTGTCTGAAAATAGTATGTCAGTGGTGTTGGTGGTTTATGTGGCAGTTTGTGTCAATGTGTATCTTATTCCTGCTCTGTGAACAGGTACAGAAGTACCTGTGGTGTGTGTACAAAGGGAGTTGTACCTGTGCTATGTCATGGTGCTGTTAAAAACCCCTTTGTGCCATTGTGATAGTCCCTTCTGTTAGGTGCAGTTTTAGTCTGAATTGAAGCAGAAGTGTGTGGGAGAGTTAATTCACCCAGTTTGTTGTCAGCTCACAATTATGGGGGTAGGAGGAGCACCTGTATTTAGGAAGCAGTAGTTCCTGTGGATAAAATCCTGACTATATACAGCTGCTCTCTGTGTCTATCTGTAAATAAAGTTTTTCCACAAAGAGTTCTGTTCTAGACTCGTATAATGGGTTCTAGCCTAATCACAGATAGCTACGTTAATTTTGGCACTTCTGCAACTTTATTTTTTGTAACGCTTGTTTACAGTCCTTTCTTCAGGAAGTGTGTTATAAACGGGTCACTGACTTTGCCAAGGTGTGGCTTCCTTGTTTGTTTGTTTATTTTTTCACATAGGGATTTAGCAGTCTGCAGTTCCTGCAGCCTTGTGTATAGTTCTTATCTAGATCAGGAAGTAAAGGTAGAAGAAAAAATGCTTTTCTAGACTAATTCAAAGAAGATAAAAGTAGAAAAGGTATTCAGGATGTGCAATTGGTATGAAATTTGTGAGAAGAAAATGAAAACTTGGACAAAAATGGAGCACTAATCATTCCTGGGCTTGTGATGGTTTTTGGTGTGTTCAGAATGCTTGCTGGAGAGCAGTGAGATGATTTTAAGAGCTTGTAAAGCAGTCTAGGTCAGTTATTTGGATGAGGCAGCTGCAGGTTGAGGGCAAAACATTGTTGGAATGTTACACGGGCAAGTACACTGTGTTAGTACACTGATAGCTTGGAATAAAGTTTCTTTTTATCATGGGAAAAAATGGACTTCAATTTTTTAATTATAGAAATGAGGTTCAAGACAACTGAATTTGTATGGTCTGGTTTATTTTATAGGCAACTAAAATACAGTAATGTAGAAAAAATATATTTGAGCTTTTGGACAAGATTCTTGGGCATTCAGCTTATTAAAAAGAACTCTGTGTAATGCTAAAGACTAATTAATTGGCAAGAATGTTATCCAGAAATATGGAGGTTAATAAAATTTTCACGAGGCTAAAGATTTTTTTATTACACCTTATGTACAGACCTAGAAACAGGCAGGGGCAGTTTGTGGTCAAGAATTCTGTGGATATATTTATTGATATGGGGTTTTTTTATTATTCTTTTTAGACCTCTAAACGTATGAATCTAAATGAATTATTATTTTCTTTTTTAGTAACAATTTGATTCCTCTAACTGAGAAACTGTTTCTTCTTGCAGAGCTAAAATCAGCAGTGTTTGATGACTTCAGGAAAGAGGAAGAATGGAAGGTACAGTTTTGTTATTTTTGTAAGAATGTTGTCATCGCTTGAACAAGAAATCTGTATCACTGAGTAGAGAACAAATAAATAAACTTCATGGCTGGTATTTTCACCTAACATTGTTTTCTATCCAAGTAATAGGTTTGGGGTTTGGTAACTCTGAACACTGTATAATACATGTTGAAAAATCTAAAGCCTAGTATAGGGAGAACAAATGGTTAATTGTCTCCTATTTTTTTTTAGTTTTTTAAAAAAATTAGAAACTGTTTTTGTTTATCTCCACTTTTCTTTTCAAAGGCTTATACTTTATTACTTTCATAAATTATATGGCACTCCAGTACGTGTGGATTCACCTCTTTGAGCTGCTTAAGCTATAAAACAGTTTTAGAATAAGTACAGATATATTTAAGCAGGCCATTGTGTATATTAGCAGGAATTCAAAAGACTTGTGACCAAGTGAAAGTTTCAAAATATTTTTTAGTATGAGTCGGGGGGACAAGCTACTTAGTTAAGATGAGGCTTATCTTTGGATATCCTGTATATAAGGAGCTGCCTTCTAATGCTGTTTGAGACTAATTTTCTCCTGCAGTGTTGCTATATGCAGGTAATGAAAAGATATAGAGTAATGAAATAGATTTCAGCTTCAAATTTCCACAGCAAGTTAAGGCAATAACATGGGTTTGCTATAGCTGATTAACTTACGTAAATACTTGTGTGTTTTTTCAAAATGTTTAGATAATGCTTTTAGATGATTACACTACTAAATTGCTGTCACTGTGCTGCAAAATGACTGATCTACTGGCAGAGGGTATCACAGGTAAGTGTAATTCTTATTAATGTACAGATGGCAATATCCTGGTAAGAAAAAGGGAAGGAGTGAAATGGAGGATACCCTTCCAGAAAAGTGTCTTTATTTGGTTGATGAAGACAAGTAGCTGTGGGATATTAGACTAGTAGACTTTCTGGCTTATACAGTAATTACCCAATTGTGATTTATTATTTTTT